CTTTCTTTTAGATATTTGTATATCTCTTCTTGTATCTCCTGATTATTAGGTGCTACATACAGGGTGATGATATATAGGCTTAGTCTTTTAAAATCAAGCCTTAACTCTAATATATATGGGTTAATGCTTTTTACTCTAAATACATGGTTTTTCTATCTTTTTTCTATAATAATTTCTACTCCTGACCCCTTTTGCTTTTTGTTCATCTACTGTTGTCCAAAAGCTATGATACCTCTCATATTTTTTAGTAAGAAGAGAACCTTCAATTTCAGAGATGCTGGTTTTCTCTAGCCCTATAATATCTATTTTTTTCTCTTTTATAAAATCTATAAATAAATCAAATCTACCTTTGTTTGCCTTGAGCCTGTTAATATTGTGATAGCTGATATTTAATATTTCTAGTATTGTTTTATTATTTTTTGGAGGATTGTCTATATCTATATTTGGTGTATGTGAGCCTCCAATCTCGCTTTGACTCTTATAGGTGCCTAGTTACTTTTTGGGCCAGTTTGGGGTCTCTCCTCCATTATTGTTAATTTGTTGTTCCTGTTTAATTTCTAAATTTTCAAGTCTACTCAAAATTTGACTCAGGAGACTCTCTATTTCTATATTCTCTTTCTTAGATGAAGGTTCTTTGACTGTGTAGATTTTAGAATTTCTAGCATTTCTTGTATCTGGTTTGTTTACTAGGGGCTTTTTCAGTTCTTTGTTAGTTTGGTTTTTGCTATTTGAGGCCTTGTTTGTTAGTTAACATTCAAGAAGAAATTCATTTTCTTTGTTTTCTGTAGAGCTTTCTGCTACCTTCTTCATACTGTTTCTTAAAACAAATGTATTTGTTTCTTCTTGTTGGTTTTCTTTGTTCTTCACCGCCCAGTCTAGTTTTGTATTGTAGTAGTATACTGGGTATTTGCATGCCATCTATTTGTCTTCTTCACTTGCAAAATAAATGCTTGCTATTTGCCATTGATTGCCATTTCTATTTTTGGAGATATATAAAGCCTTTGCTTTTGTACCTTTGATTTGTCTAAGAAAGGCTGTCTCTATTGCTGACTTGGGGACATCTCTAATTATTACTTTGTGTTTACTTCTTTCTTGAAGTACCTCAGCATCAAACCTGCCTTGGGTTAATCTTGATATTTTACCCTTCTCGAGATGTATTGCCCACATTGACTGTAGCAGTTCTTTTTCCTTTCATCTCTTGGTTCTATTGCGATGAAAGCTGCTTTGTTTTTGCTATTTGCCATGAAGCTTAAAACTGTTGCTTTTCCATAGTATCCTAGATATCTTCTTATCTGGTTGGCTCTTGTTTTATTTGGTATATCTTATACCGTGATATTAATTTTTTTAGGTCTTTTATTTGTTTCTCGTTTGTATTCTTTTGGTGCTTATATTGAGTTGTAAATATCATTTTTGCCTGTGGTTTCTTGAGACTGATTAGAAATAGAATCTTTTTGGGCGGGCTATTCTGCTTTTGTCGCTTCATGGGGGTTGTTTTGGGGCAGAGCATTATTCTTTACACTACTGGGGATTTCTATATTGGCTTGTTCTTCATTTGTATCAAAAGTTTGTTTTGCTTTTCCTTCTTCTTGCATGTTTTTATTTCTGCTCTCTTCTATCCCATAGTCAGTTTGGCCGCATTCGTGTTTAACTAGGCTATTTATTAAGCTGTTTGCGCTGAGTTTTTTGGGCCAAAAAAGCTATTTTTTGTATATTTTAAGTCTAAAAAACTAACTAAATATACTATTAATTAGCTAGTAATAAATTTGAAGATGATTC